TGATGTTAAATCTCTAGGCCAAGATAAAGGTGAACTTGTGGTCATTACAAGACCATTGAGTAGTTTGGCTGATCAAAATAAACTTGGAATCAAACCCCTCTTGAAATCCTGTTCCATTGAATGGCTCAACCACGGAAGAGAACTACGAGTGGAATTGCGTAGTTTTTCTTTATTTCATATTGACAGGCCATGGACACCTAATTTTGTGGATATGCATTCATTGAGAAAAGGTTCGCCGGCATGCTTATTCCTACCCCTGACCACACCTAACCAAGGGATAGAACCCCGGGTTCATCTAAGTTAGGTGAAAACAAACCCAATGGCGATTTAGAGAAGAAGGATGTTGTTGCCACCAGAGATGAGTTTTTAAGCTGTGGATTTCCTAGCTTAAATATGCAAATTAATGAGAAGAAGGTTCAACATGGATCTGTGAGCCAAGATGTGGAAGCCTCACCTCAAAGGCTATCTTCACTAATGGCACCTCGTGCCAAATTCGTTAAGTTTTTGCAGGTTCCATGTGAAGGAGAAACTTCCGAGTTTTATCATAAGACTCGTGAAAAGTTTATGAAGAGAAAGAAGTTGAAAAAATCAATCTACTTTAAGCCCGGAGACCTAGTGTGGGTCCATGAGCAAAGAGAGCATTTCTCTGGAAAACGCAAGGCAAAGCTTCAATTCCAAGACGATGGCCCATTCGAAGTGCTAGCCCGAGTCAACAACAATTCCTACATGGTTGACCTTGCAAGAGATCAGAGAGTTGCTGCCACATTCAAAAAAAGGGACCTTAGTCCATATGACGGTCTTGATTATCCGTTGAGTTTGAGGGCAAACTCTTTTGAAGACCGGGAGGATGTTATATCTGGGCCCGGCCCTATCCTACCCTCCCCCATGTCCCACACTCCCATGGGAACCAAAGGACTTAGGTTCAAACATTATGATCCCTTTTAGTAAGAATTCAAAGTCCTTTAACCCGGAAGGCCAAATAACTTTTGTTTTTGACCTCGGGGTTCCGCTGGCCAATCCTCTTTCCGTCCAACTCAACCCCAAATATCCAAAAGTATTTTATTTCCTTTTGATATCCAAAAAAAAGTTCTTCCTACTCTTATTTTAGCCCAGGGCCGAAAATAAGAGTGTGCAAAATAAAACCTTTTGTTTGTTGTTATTTTCCTTCCTTAAAAGCCTTTATTGAGCCAATAAAACCCTCCCTTTATTCCATTCACCCCTGGCCAAAATACACTTCACAATCCCAACATAAACACCCACAAAGAGACAAAACCATGACCCACCTCCAGCCCCTACTTCCTGCCCATGTTTCCCTCACAATAACCCAAAGCCATAACTCCAAAATACCCACAAATAATACCCAGCCATGTCCCCTTTTAATGACCAAAAACAACCCTCCATTCTTACCCAAATAATACCCACAAAACCTTGGAAATCAACCACTACAACCTTAAAACCCAAAACCCCACAATCCCCAGTCCCATCCCTGATTTTATTCCACTAAGGAGACAGGAATGAGTGGCCAATACCCCATGCCTTGGAAGAGATTGTTGCATGGAAGCTTCCCTGAAGTTTACATTCAATGTATTGTGAATTATCTCCCCCTTCCCCTGCCTATATAACTCAGGCCTTATGGCCATTGTAACACAACCTTTGAATATTGAAAATCTTTTACTCTTTGAGTATTATTAAAATAGTGTGATGCTATTTTAGCCAAATTCCTAATTCTATATCTTAAGAGTGGTTATCTTAAGTGTGAGTTTTAGTTTCTAGATATTTGATTAAGTGTGTCATATCTTAATTAAATTCTAGATTGAAACCCCAAGTTAGGATAAGAGTGTGTAATATCTCTTAAACACCAACTTGGTTTATCCATCCCTGATTTTCTTCCATTTCATACCTCCCCATTTCTCCTCTTAATCTTACTCTTTTCTTCCATTAAAAATACCCAAAAGAACTCCCTCATCAGCCCCATATATTTCCAACCCATTCCGCGTAAAAACGCCTTTCTTCCTGTCCAGAATCACTACACAAACAATCGATTATCACTCCCCACAATCGATTATCAGTTCCATTGGAAACATCTGCAGGTAGTAATAATCGATTATCCCTTTAAGATAATCGACTATCACTCATTCCTAGAAAATCTGCAGCCTTCCATAATCGATTATCACTTCTTGTAAATCGATTGTTTATTTCTCCTAAACTTTTGAAGCTCCTCCTGAGAAACTGAATCACTTGACAATCGATTATCCTACTTGGACAATCGATTATCATACATCAAGGGAAACTCCTGCAGTCCTATATAATCGATTATCACCATACTAATAATCGACTATTAACCCATCCAGCAAAAGAAGGAGCTTGTTCCCTAAATCCGAGCTTAATACCGACAAACCCGGAGCGTAGATATAACATTTGGTATCAAAGCTTTGTGTTGAACATCCCTAAGGGATCATCTTTACACGCCTCCTTTGTTACTATCAACCATGCACTCTTCAAGCCATTTATCCACCATGCCAAGCTCTTCTCAAAACATGTTTCAAGGTGAATTAGCTGCTGCCCAGGAGAAACTAAAGAAGGAAGTTGAGCTTATGATGAAAAAAATCAAGGAGCTCACTAATTCAGTAGAGATTCCCACGTTTGAGGGAAGAAACGACCCGGAGAAGTTCTCAAAGTGGTTAGCAAAAGTTGAAGACGTCTTTATACTCAAAGACGTACCCGAAGACAAGAGAGTCAAGCTAGTGGTGGCAAAGTTTCAAAGACATGCATCTACCTGGTGGGCTAGCATTGCTTCAAAATGAAAGCTCCAAGGAAAAGCGAAGGTGAGAACTTGGGAAAAGTTAAGAAAACTCTTAAGTAAGAGATTTTCTTCCAAAGATCATCTCCACCAGGTACTTGAAAATAATCTCCCTTTTTCACCCCATACTCTTTCTAAAGTCCTACCACCTTCCCCACAACAAAAGTCCCTCCATAATGCCCTCTCTCCCACAACCGTAACCTCCTCTAAATCCCGATCTTCGCAGAATTCCCATGCTACCCAAATCATTCCCGAAGCCACCACCATTTTCAACACTCAAACTCCCTCTAAAGTTCCCTCTTTACCTTGCATCCATGCTGTCCAAAACATCTCTCACCCAACTCCCTCACACCTACCCAAAATTCCTACTCAAACCTCTTTACCTTTCCTAGCCACTGCCCAAACTAACCCAACACCCCTTACCACAACCCTGCCCCAAAATACCTCAAAACCCATTTATATTTCATCCCTGGCCACTGTCCAAACAAGCCCCAAAACCCTCTTCACACCCCTGCCTCCAAACTTGCATATAACCATGCCTATAATTCCCCCTGAAACGGCCCTAACCATTCCCACACCTACCCCTACACCCCCACTTGAAAAACCAACTGAAAC